TTCTGTCTCTCTTCGGTCTCTCTTCTTTCTCTCTTTGGTCTCTCTTCGGTCTCTCTTCGGTCGCTCTTCTGTCTCTCTTTGGTCTCTCTTCTGTTTCTCTTCGGCCTCTCTTCGGTCTCTCTTCGGTCTCTCTTCGGTCTCTCTTCGGTCTCTCTTCGGTCTCTCTTCTGTCTCTCTTCGGTCTCTCTTCGGTCTCTCTTTGGTCTCTCTTCGGTCTCTCCTCGGTCTCTCCTCGGTCTCTCTTCGGTCTCTCTTCTGTCTCTCTTCTGTCTCTCTTCGGTCTCTCTTTGGTCTCTCCACTGTCTCTCTTCGGTCTCTCTTCTGTCTCTCTTCGGTCTCTCTTCTGTCTCTCTTCGGTCTCTCTTCTGTCTCTCTTCTGTCTCTCTTCTGTCTCTCTTCGTTCTCTCTTCTGTCTCTCTTCGGTCTCTCTTCGGTCTCTCTTCTGTCTCTCTTCTGTCTCTCTTCTGTCTCTCTTCGGTCTCTCTTCGGTCTCTCTTCTGTCTCTCTTCTGTCTCTCTTCGGTCTCTCTTCGGTCTCTCTTCTGTCTCTCTTCTGTCTCTCTTCTGTCTCTCTTCGGTCTCTCTTCTTTCTCTCTTTGGTCTCTCTTCGGTCTCTCTTCGGTCTCTCTTCTGTCTCTCTTCGGTCTCTCTTCTGTCTCTCTTCTGTTTCTCTTCGGTCTCTCTTCGGTCTCTCTTCGGTCTCTCTTCGGTCTCTCTTCGGTCTCTCTTCGGTCTCTCTTCGGTCTCTCTTCGGTCTCTCTTCTGTTTCTCTTCGGCCTCTCTTCGGTCTCTCTTCGGTCTCTCTTCGGTCTCTCTTCGGTCTCTCTTCGGTCTCTCTTCTGTCTCTCTTCGGTCTCTCTTCGGTCTCTCTTTGGTCTCTCTTCGGTCTCTCCTCGGTCTCTCCTCGGTCTCTCTTCGGTCTCTCTTCTGTCTCTCTTCTGTCTCTCTTCGGTCTCTCTTTGGTCTCTCCACTGTCTCTCTTCGGTCTCTCTTCTGTCTCTCTTCGGTCTCTCTTCTGTCTCTCTTCGGTCTCTCTTCTGTCTCTCTTCTGTCTCTCTTCTGTCTCTCTTCGGTCTCTCTTCTGTCTCTCTTCGGTCTCTCTTCGGTCTCTCTTCTGTCTCTCTTCTGTCTCTCTTCGGTCTCTCTTCTGTCTCTCTTCGGTCTCTCTTCTGTCTCTCTTCTGTCTCTCTTCGGTCTCTCTTCGGTCTCTCTTCTGTCTCTCTTCTGTCTCTCTTCGGTCTCTCTTCGGTCTCTCTTCGGTCTCTCTTCGGTCTCTCTTCTGTCTCTCTTCGGTCTCTCTTCGGTCTCTCTTCTGTCTCTCTTCGGTCTCTCTTCGGTCTCTCTTCTGTCTCTCTTCGGTCTCTCTTCGGTCTCTCTTCTGTCTCTCTTCTGTCTCTCTTCGGTCTCTCTTCTGTCTCTCTTCGGTCTCTCTTCTGTCTCTCTTCGGTCTCTCTTCGGTCTCTCTTCGGTCTCTCTTCTGTCTCTCTTCTGTCTCTCTTCGGTCTCTCTTCGGTCTCTCTTCGGTCTCTCTTCGGTCTCTCTTCTGTCTCTCTTCGGTCTCTCTTCGGTCTCTCTTCTGTCTCTCTTCGGTCTCTCTTCGGTCTCTCTTCTGTCTCTCTTCGGTCTCTCTTCGGTCTCTCTTCTGTCTCTCTTCTGTCTCTCTTCGGTCTCTCTTCTGTTTCTCTTCGGTCTCTCTTCGGTCTCTCTTCGGTCTCTCTTCGGTCTCTCTTCGGTCTCTCTTCTGTTTCTCTTCGGTCTCTCTTCGGTCTCTCTTCGGTCTCTCTTCGGTCTCTCTTCGGTCTCTCTTCTGTCTCTCTTCGGTCTCTCTTCGGTCTCTCTTTGGTCTCTCTTCGGTCTCTCCTCGGTCTCTCCTCGGTCTCTCTTCGGTCTCTCTTCTGTCTCTCTTCGGTCTCTCTTCTGTCTCTCTTCGGTCTCTCTTCTGTCTCTCTTCTGTCTCTCTTCTGTCTCTCTTCGGTCTCTCTTCTGTCTCTCTTCGTTCTCTCTTCGGTCTCTCTTCTGTCTCTCTTCGGTCTCTCTTCTGTCTCTCTTCGGTCTCTCTTCTGTCTCTCTTCGGTCTCTCTTCTGTCTCTCTTCTGTCTCTCTTCTGTCTCTCTTCGGTCTCTCCTCGGTCTCTCTTCGGTCTCTCTTCTGTCTCTCTTCTGTCTCTCTTCGGTCTCTCTTCTGTCTCTCTTCTGTCTCTCCTCGGTCTCTCTTCTGTCTCTCTTCTGTCTCTCTTCGGTCTCTCTTCTGTCTCTCTTCGGTCTCTCTTCTGTCTCTCTTCGGTCTCTCTTCTGTCTCTCTTCTGTCTCTCCTCGGTCTCTCTTCGGTCTCTCTTCTGTCTCTCTTCGGTCTCTCTTCTGTCTCTCTTCGGTCTCTCTTCTGTCTCTCTTCTGTCTCTCCTCGGTCTCTCTTCTGTCTCTCTTCTGTCTCTCTTCTGTCTCTCTTCGGTCTCTCTTCTGTCTCTCTTCGGTCTCTCTTCTGTCTCTCTTCGGTCTCTCTTCGGTCTCTCTTCTGTCTCTCTTCGGTCTCTCTTCTGTCTCTCTTCAGTCTCTCTTCTGTCTCTCTTCGGTCTCTCTTCGGTCTCTCTTCGGTCTCTCTTCGGTCTCTCTTCGGTCTCTCTTCTGTCTCTCTTCTGTCTCTCTTCGGTCTCTCTTCAGTCTCTCTTCTGTCTCTCTTCGGTCTCTCTTCTGTCTCTCTTCGGTCTCTCTTCGGTCTCTCTTCTGTCTCTCTTCGGTCTCTCTTCGGTCTCTCTTCTGTCTCTCTTCGGTCTCTCTTTGGTCTCTGTCTTGTGTTTTGTGTTTTTTACTTCAAAGAAATGAAAGAATGACTTCAGACGTCCAGTTTCAGCTGCTATGTTTTCATTAAATCATAATTTTTCAGCTGTGAAGATTAGATGAGACAAGAGTTCCTTTATCCGTCCCACAGTGGGGACATTTCAGTGTTGCAGCGCACAGGACAGTAGTAAGAGATACAGAGCACACAAAATATACAAGACAAGTAGTATCTGTAAATGCTTCAATACCAGTCAAAAAACATATATATATAAAATTGTCCACTCACCTTTGGCCCTCCGCGGGCGGTTATCCCTCTCTAAGCTCGGGTCCTCTACCAGAGGCCAGGGAGCTTGAGGGTTCTGTGCAGTATCTTTGCTGTTCCTAGCACTGCACATTTCTGGACCGAGATGTCCGAGGTTGTTCCGGGGATCCGCTGTAACCACTCATCTAGCTTCGGGGTCACTGCCCCGAGTGCACCGATCACCACGGGCACTACTGTCACCTTTACCCTCCAGGCCCTCTCCAGCTCCTCTCTGAGACCTTGGTATTTCTCAAGCTTTTCATGTTCTTTTTTCCGGATGTTACCATCGCTTGGAATTGCCACGTCCACCACCACGGCTGTCCTCTGCCCTTTGTCCACCACCACGATGTCAGGTTGGTTTGCCATTACCATTCGGTCGGTCTGTATCTGGAAGTCCCACAGGATCTTTGCACGCTCATTCTCCACCACCTTTGGAGGAGTTTCCCACTTAGACCTTGGGGTTTCCAGCCCATACTCTGCACAGATGTTTCTGTTCACTATGCCAGCCACTTGGTTATGGCATTCCATGTAGGCCTTCCCTGCAGCATCTTGCACCCTGCAGTTATGTGTTGGATCGTCTCAGGTGCCTCTTTGCACAACCGACACCTTGGGTCTTGTCTGGTGTGGTATATCTGGGCCTCTATCGCTCTGGTGCTCAGTGCCTGTTCCTGTGCAGCCATGATGAGTGCCTCTGTGCTGTCCTGTAGGCCAGCCCTTTCTAGCCATTGGTAGGACTTCTTGAGATCAGCCACTTCTGTTATGCTCCGGTGGTACATGCCGTGTAGGGGCTTGTTCTCCCATGATGGGCTCTCCTCCAGCACCTCCTCATCTCGCCACTGCCTGAGACATTCACTGAGTACGTCATCCGTTTTGGCCTTCTCCATGATGTAGTTATGGAGTTTGGATGTTTCGTCCTGGACAGTGGCTCTCACACTCACTAGTCCTCGGCCTCCTTCTTTACGGCTTACGTACAGTCTCAGGGTGCTGGATTTGGGATGGAACCCGCCATGCATGGTAAGGAGCTTTCGAGTTTTAACATCCGTGGTCTGAATCTCTTCCTTTGGCCACCTGATTATTCCTGCAGGGTATCTGATCACTGGCAGGGCGTAGCTGTTAATTGCCCGGGCCTTGTTCTTGCCATTGAGCCGGCTTCTTAGGACCTGCCTTACTCGCTGGAGGTATTTGGAAGTTGCCGCTTTCCTCGTCACCTGTATATATATATATATATATATATATATATATATATATATATATATATATATATATATATATATATATTATATATATATATATATATATATATATATATATATATATATATATATATATATATATATATATGTTATATACTGTACATACAAAGCAGGATCATTGGTATTTAATTATTTACAGATAAACTACATTTACAGACGCAGCAGTTCTCGTTGTACAGTCTGACAGCAGCAGGAAGGAAAGACCTGCAGAACCTCTCCTTCACACAGCGAGGGTGAATTAGTCTGTCACTGAAGCTGCTCTCCAGAGCAGAGAGAGTGTCCTGCAGGGGGCGACAGTCATGGTCCAGCATAGATGTTAGTTTGCTCAGGACCCTCCTGTCCCCCACCTGCTGCACTGTGTCCAGGGAACAGCCCAGGACTGAGCTGGACTTCCTGATGTTCCAGCTTCTTCCTGTCCCTCTCTGTGATACTGCTGTTCCAGCAGACCACACCGTACAAGAGGCTCCACCACAGAGTCATAGAAGGTCTTCAGGAGTGGCCCCTCCAAAAGACCAAGAAACAACCATGTTTGGTCTCAGTGCAGTGTTTGTGAAATCTATCAAACATCTATGATTACAATATTGTCCCCGCTCCCACCTCTGTGTGGAGTGAGGGTCAGGCGCCTAAAGAGACTGCAAAGTGCTGTGACAGGCGCTATACAGATAAACATGACTCACTTCTTTACCACTGTGCACTGAGGTGACGAGGTGGTGAGCTCAGGGACTGGGTCTGAGGTGGTGAGCTCAGGGACTGGGTCTGAGGTGGTGAGCTCAGGGACTGGGTCTGAGGTGGTGAGCTCAGGGACTGGGTCTGAGGTGGTGAGCTCAGGGACTGGGTCTGAGGTGAGCTCAGGGACTGGGTCTGAGGTGAGCTCAAGGACTGGGTCTGAGGTGGTGAGCTCAGGGACTGGGTCTGAGGTGAGCTCAGGGACTGGGTCTGAGGTGAGCTCAGGGACTGGGTCTGAGGTGGTGAGCTCAGGGACTGGGTCTGAGGTGGTGAGCTCAGGGACTGGGTCTGAGGTGAGCTCAAGGACTGGGTCTGAGGTGGTGAGCTCAGGGACTGGGTCTGAGGTGAGCTCAGGGACTGGGTCTGAGGTGAGCTCAGGGACTGGGTCTGAGGTGGTGAGCTCAGGGACTGGGTCTGAGGTGAGCTCAAGGACTGGGTCTGAGGTGGTGAGCTCAGGGACTGGGTCTGAGGTGAGCTCAGGGACTGGGTCTGAGGTGAGCTCAAGGACTGGGTCTGAGGTGGTGAGCTCAGGGACTGGGTCTGAGGTGGTGAGCTCAGGGACTGGGTCTGAGGTGAGCTCAAGGACTGGGTCTGAGGTGGTGAGCTCAGGGACTGGGTCTGAGGTGAGCTCAGGGACTGGGTCTGAGGTGAGCTCAGGGACTGGGTCTGAGGTGAGCTCAGGGACTGGGTCTGAGGTGAGCTCAGGGACTGGGTCTGAGGTGAGCTCAGGGACTGGGTCTGAGGTGAGCTCAGGGACTGGGTCTGAGGTGGTGAGCTCAGGGACTGGGTCTGAGGTGAGCTCAGGGACTGGGTCTGAGGTGAGCTCAGGGACTGGATCCACAGATATGTGAGGAGTGTGAACAAAGGTCCTTCTGTGGTGAGGAGACTTCAGCCTCAGGTTTGTCATGAGCTTTACCCAGAACTGACACCGCTCCAAAGGGTTTATGGGAAACCTCTGCAGAAAGTAGGACTTTGGGTGTGTCTGTGTGTGTGTGTGTGTGTGTATGTGTGTGTGTGTGTGTGTGTCTGTGTCAGTGTCAGTGTCAGTGTGTGTGCGCGTGTGTGTGCGTCTGTGTCAGTGTGTGTGTGTGTGTGTGTCTGTCATAGTCGTGGTACCGCACAGCGCAGCACGGTACGGCACGGCACGGTCGTGTGGGTGCTTTTCCATGATAGTCCCTGTGAGTATTGTCAGAGCACGTCATGTGGTCACGTGAGGCACTAGCATTTGTCTGAAGCGTCACTTTGTCATTTGCCTAAACATATAATTTGCCCAGATGTGTTTTCACCAAAAACAAAACCTTTTTGTGTTTACCAAATGTCTCCATCGTTGTTCATAAATGTACCAATAGCTGCGTTTCCATTGAATAATGCGCAAAAACTTTTTTGATACATTTCAAAATTCGAAAAACCTGTAATTCGCAAAAGCGGCCGTTTCCATTAAGACATATTCAAATAAGTATACACTATTTTCGCGCGTTTATTCACTAGTTTCTAGTACGTCAACATGGCAACAGAAGTAAACAACACTTTGATTTACGTGAGATATATTAATGTCTTGACTTCTGCTGCGGCTCTCATCCTCTCTGACCTCTGACCCCGGGAGAAACTGTGGCTGCTTTGACAGCTCCGCGAACGCGCGTGGTCATGTACCGAGCGCGGACCATAGACGCGCCACAGAACCATAGACACGGGTCTTGCCTGTCTCCCACGTCTCTCCCCCGTCTCTCCCCCGTCTCTCCCCCGTCTCTCCCCCGTCTCTTCCCCGTCTCTCCCCCGTCTCTCCCCCGTCTCTTCCCCGTCTCTTCCCCGTCTCTCCCCCGTCTCTCCCCCGTCTCTTCCCCGTCTCTCCCCCATGCCTCTCCCCCGTCTCTCCCCCATGCCTCTCCCCCGTCTCTCCCCGTCTCTTCCCCGTCTCTTCCCCGTCTCTTCCCCGTCTCTCCCCCGTCTCTTCCCCGTCTCTCCCCCGTCTCTCCCCCATGCCTCTCCCCCGTCTCTTCCCCGTCTCTCCCCCATGCCTCTCCCCCGTCTCTTCCCCGTCTCTCCCCCGTCTCTCCCCCGTCTCTTCCCCGTCTCTCCCCCGTATCTCCCCCGTCTCTTCCCCGTCTCTTCCCCGTCTCTCCCCCGTCTCTCCCCCGTCTCCTCCCCGTCTCTCCCCCGTCTCTTCCCCGTCTCTCCCCCGTCTCTTCCCCGTCTCTCCCCCGTCTCTTCCCCGTCTCTTCCCCGTCTCTCCCCTCTCTCCCCCGTCTCTCCCCCGTCTCTCCCCCGTCTCTCCCCCGTCTCTTCCCCGTCTCTCCCCCGTCTCTCCCCCCCGTCTCTCCCCCGTCTCTTCCCCGTCTCTCCCCCGTCTCTCCCCCGTCTCTTCCCCGTCTCTTCCCCGTCTCTCCCCCGTCTCTCCCCCGTCTCTCCCCCGTCTCTCCCCCGTCTCTTCCCCGTCTCTCCCCCGTCTCTCCCCCGTCTCTTCCCCGTCTCTCCCCGTCTCTCCCCGTCTCTTCCCCGTCTCTCCCCCGTCTCTCCCCCATGCCTCTCCCACGTATCTCCCAAGTCTCACACGAAGCGCAGCCAAAACTCACTGAATAAAGCTCAGCTCGGCTTCCTCCGCTATATCGAAATAAGTGTTTCCATTGCCGTTTAGCGAAAAACTTAATTTCGATACGTCCAAAAAACCACCGATTTTAAGCGCATAAACTTTTTATCGAAAAACTGGTTTATTCGAAATTTGCGCGTTTCCAGACATTTTATGATTCGCAAATTCAAATTTCGAAATTTGATGCTCAATGGAAACGCAGCTAATGTTATACAGATTTACTGACAAATATAATGAACGCAGTAAAAGTACATAAGTGTGTAGTAAAAGTACATAAGTCGTAACTTTTGAACCCGTTTCTGCAGTGCACAGACAAATGAACCAAAAACAGTCTTGATAAAATCACAGATTTATTAAAAACAGAAGTAAAACCAAATTTTTCTCAAATAAATATACACACGACAATTTAAACACAAGCACAAAACAGAAAGACGTGAAAGAGCAAAGAACAGCAGCACAGGACGTTAGCTTAGCTGCTATCAATGGCTAAATGTAGCTAGCTCCCTGCAGCAGACAGTGAGAGCTTTAACAGTTATTTCAGGATCACCACAGACTCAAACCCAGAACCATCTCCTGAAAACCTCACTCCGTGTTCCGTCGAGCTGCCTTTGAATTCTTTCTTTGGCTTAAAGAGAGAAAGGTGCGGACCTCTTCGACCGACCAGGGTTAAGTTTTGCAGCTTAAAAAACTAAAAACAACATATTTCACAGTTTAAATATAGTTTTAGTCAAATATTCTCTGAACATTTAATGAGAAGTGGCCTTTTTTACAGCGTCGTCCTCTGCAGCAGTGAATCTCTTTATCCGTCCTCACAGAGAAGCTTCACTTTGGTCCATTTGAACATTATTATTATTCTGTTTTTCAATTCATTTGGAAAAGATAAAATAAAAATGTGAAAAACAATAAACAACAACAAAATGTAACGGATCAAGGCAAAAGAACCCAGGAGCAGACTCTGAAGAGGTTCAGATGGAATTTTATTGAAGCCGGTTTGGAGCTAGATGGGGTAGGGCCAGTGCAGGGACGGAGCGGAGCCAGGGCAGGACAGGGCAGGACAGGGCAGGACAGAGCAGGACGGAGCAGATCCAGGGCGGGAAGGAGCAAAACCAGGGTAGGGCAGAACAAAACCGGGACAGGACGGAGCAGGGGCAGAGCAGGACGGAGCTGGAAAAGCAGGTGGCTGGAGAACTGGAAAATAAGGCAAAAAAAAAACCTGGTTTGAATGTTATATTTCGAGCTAGTCAAAAAAGAACGCAAGAAACGTGACACTGACTGGCAGAGTTTTACGATCTGGCACAGCTGAGCTCACTGCAGTGGTTTTTGAATCCTTCCTGCTGATGATGAGAGTGAACTCAGCTGTGGAGTTCCTCCAGCACACCTGTTCACATCCTGCAACAGAAAGGGAGGGGGAGGGAAGGCCAGCCTCTCAGGGAGGGGCTGAAGTGGCCAGAGGTGCTGGAAGGGCTGTGACAGTACCCCCCCCCTCTACGGACGCCCCCTGGAGTCCTATCCCGCTTCTCAGGATGATCACTGTAGAAGTCCCGGATCAAGGAAGGGTCCAACACATTCCTGCGCGGAACCCAGCACCGCTCCTCGGGGCCGTAACCCTCCCAATCCACCAAAAACTGAAGACCCCGACCCTGGCGACGAACGTCCAAAATACGCCGAACAGTATAGGCAGGGTGGTCATCGATCAACCTAGGAGGAGGGGGAGGAGGAACAGAAGGGCACAAGGGGCTGGACCGGACAGGCTTGATCATCGACACATGAAAGGTAGGGTGTACTCAAGGAAGCTGGTAGCTTAAGACGCACCGCCGACGGGTTAATCACCGTCTCTACCTCAAACGGTCCAATAAACCTGGGAGAGAGCTTCTTAGACTCCACCTTGAGAGGCAGATCCCGAGTGGAGAGCCACACCTTCTGCCCAGTGACGTAAGGCGGAGCGGGCACACGCCTACGGTTTGCCTGGCTCTGGGACCGCCTAGAAGCAGACTCAAGCGCGGACCGAGCTTGTTTCCAAGTCTGGCTACACCGCCTCAGATGAACCTGGACTGAGGGAACAGCAAGTTCTCGCTCCTGGTCTGCGAATAAAGGTGGTTGGTAGCCGTTACAACATTCAAATGGCGACATGCCCAAAGAGGCGTTCACCTGGGTATTATAAGCATACTCCACCCAGGGCAGATGTGAACTCCAACTGGACGGACTCCCGGATGATACACAGCGTAACGCCACCTCCATCTGCTGGTTCGCTCTCTCAGTTTGGCCGTTAGTTTGGGGGTGATATCCAGAAGAGAGGCTGACATTGATGTTAAGAGCAGAACAAAATGCACGCCATACTTGAGGTAAATTGGGGACCTCTGTCAGAAACTATATCCAACGGGATTCCGTGCAGCTTAAAGACATGATTCACCAACAGGTCGGCCGTCTCTCTGGAGGAAGGCAGCTTAGTGAGGGGAATAAAGTGTGCAAATTTAGAGAACCTGTCAACAATCGTAAGAACCACAGTATTGCCATTGGACGGAGGTAGCCCGGTCACGAAGTCCAGAGAGATGTGAGACCATGGACGGCTAGGAATAGGTAAAGGTAGGAGATACCCATAAGGGGGTTTATTAGAGGTCTTGTTTTGCGAGCACACTGAACATGCTGACACAAACTCCTTGGTGTCCCTCACCATGGATGGCCACCAGAATCTGCGGCGAAGGACTGCAAGAGTGCGAGCAACCCCCGGATGGCAAGTTAAAGGGGTACAATGAGCCCATTGAAGAACATCAGACCGGACTGAATCTGGAACAAACAAGGAACCAGTTGGACCATTGCCAGGATCTGGATGGGCTTGCTGGGCTAGTCTGACACGTGATTCAATTTCCCAGGAAATGGTGGCAACAAAACGAGAGGCAGGTAAAATGGGATCGCTTTCTGTTACAAGACTAGAAGTGGAAAACACACGAGACAGGGCATCTGGCTTAAGGTTTTTAGAACCGGGGCGATAGGTCAAAGTAAAATTAAACCGATCAAAAAATAGGGCCCATCTAGCTTGCCTGGAGTTGAGTCTCTTAGCTGTCTGGATATAGGATAGGTTCTTATGATCTGACCAGACTATAAAGGGAATATTTGAACCCTCCAACCAGTGGCGCCACTCTTCCAGAGCAAGTTTAATTGCCAAGAGCTCACGATTGCCAACATCATAATTCCTCTCAGCAGATGTAAGCTTACGAGATAAATATGCACAGGGATGCAGCTTCCCATCAGGGGGACAGTGTTGTGAGAGCACTGCACCTACCCCAGTGTCCGAAGCGTCGACCTCTACAACAAATTGGAGGTCT